GGATCAGCTGATCCAGAGAGGGCTGAAAGTTCTGTCTCTGTTTCTGGCACACTCTTGCCAGCCCTAGCATCACTGGGTCTGCTGTTCTTTTTGTGGTGTGGTAGCTAGGGTTTGCGGTAGTGGCCTCTGCGAGGCCATTCTGTGTGGATGGCAGGTGCATGGGGCGCGTGGGGGCATGTCCCACCCTTCCCTCCCAGGAAATGGCGGGGACCAGCTGCACATGCAGTTAAATATTTTAGGGGAGGGCTTATTTTAGTGCATGCGCTCAAAAGCTCAATTGTGCTTATTATCCGGGGAAGTCTTATTTTCGGGAAAACAGGGTATATGTATATGTATTTAGGTATGTGTGTAGGAGGGGAGGACACAATTCAGGCTCACAGTACATGGGCTACAGTCTGGTGTTCTCTGAGTTTGGTTCTTTGCTTGCAGATGTTTCATTACCCAACTACCGTATTTTTCAGAGTATAAGACGCACCCTTCCCCCCCAAAAAAGAGGGTGAAATTCTGGGTGCGTCTTATACACTGAATGCAGCATTTGTGATCTACTGAAACCCCACCCCCTTTGCAAAAATGGACACGCAGAGGGTTTGGGAAGCTTGCAAAGTGCTCCTGGGGGCTGGGGAGGGCAAAAGCAAGCAAAAAATGGGGCATTTTTGCTCATTTTTGCCCCCCACCCAGCCCCTAGGAGCACTCTACAAGCCTCCCAAAGCTCTGCATGTCCATTTTTGCAGAGGGGGTGGGCGTGTAGAGGGTTTGGGAGGCCTGCAGAGTGCAAAAACTTTTTATAAAAAAAAATTACCTCTTCAAATCATGGTGCTTCTTATACTCCAGTGCGTCTTATAATCCAAAAAATTCAGTAGGTCACATCATCAGTGCTAGTGAGTGGAGTGTGCCAAACCGTCACTCATGGGCACTGATAATGTTATATACTCAGGTAATGAAACATCTACCAAGGCCCTGAGCTACAAATATTCTCTTGCATGGGCTCTGTTCTCTACCTTTTACCTTGTACGTTCTTAAGACTCAAGGAGAAGCGTCCTGGCCATGAAATGTCCAGGAAAATATAAAACACGCTAACATTTTCCCCTTAGAATCCTAATAGCTCCTTCGCCTTGACATTCCTGACATTGGCATCCAACCCTGTTCCACGCCAAGAACTGGGCTATCAGGGCAGGTCATAGAACACAAAGGTAAGCCACAAACGATATACAGTTGTACAGTAGTGTTTAACCTCATTGCAGGTCATCCTCAACTTACAACCATTCGCTTGAAGTTACAACGGCACTGAAAAAAGTGACAGGACTGTTTTTCACCCTTAACCACCGTTGCAGCCTCTCCATAGCCACATGTTCAAAATTTGGCAACTGGTTCCTATTTATCACGGTTGTAGGGTCCGTGGGGGCCGGAGGGGTCACCTTTGGTGACCTTCTGGCAAGCGAAGTCAGTGGGGGAAGCCAGATTCATTGAACAACTGCGTTACTAATGTAACAACGGTGGCAAGAAAGGTCATAAAAATGGAACGAGACTCCCTTAGCGACTGTCTCGCTTAGCAGCGTACATTTGGGGTTCAATTGTGGTCGTTAGTCGAGGATTACCTGTAACTGTGTAACACCCTCCCTGTGTGACAATGTTGTTTGTCTATACTGTGTTGCCTTCTCCTCTAACTACGGAGAACAGAGAAATTGTGTTGGCAAAGTCCAGATACGCCATACAGATACAGGACTTTATTGAGCCGTGGTGGCGCAGTGGTTAGAATGCAGAATTGCAGGTTAACTCTGCCCAATGTCAGGAGTTCGATCCTGACCGGCTCAAGGTTGACTCAGCCTTCCATCCTTCCGAGGTCGGTCAAATGAGGACCCAGATTGTTGGGGGCAATAGTACAATAGTACTGATATTTGTAAACCACTTAGAGAAGGCTGTAAAGCACTGTGAAGTAGTATATAAGTCTAAGTGCTATTGCTATTGCTACTGTTGGCTAATGCGTCCATGCATTACCAAATCACCATCCAGGTGCCAGACACACCTTGCTGGGTGTAGTTCATCCAATTCCCCCTTCCCTTGGGGTGCTGAAGCAGAGGGTGGATTGGGACAGCAGAGGGCCCCTTGGCTGACACCACAGCACTGTTAC